TTAAAGGGTAGTGATGATTTGTAACATGTTTTCAATTTATTTAAAACATACTGTGTTGGATATTTAGGAACACAAACAAAAATGACCCAGGATCTCCCGTGATTGAACCTAAATTCTTAAAGGCATGCTGACTTGGGGGGCTGACTTCATACGCGATGGATTATTTCAGTTCTTGCCATGTGTGTTCCTGTACTTGGCTTTCAACTTTTGGTCTCTTAAGTATTAAAACAGCCCTGTTATGAGAATCTGCTGCATATGAAGTGAGTGAGGGAAGAGGATAGCAAGAAGAGTAGCAGGTTTGGGGGCACCGAGTTATTGAGAGAGTGTCCCTGAAATATGAAAAAGGGGCTGAGGATGAGATTTTGACCCAAACATTGGGTTTCCTTATATAGCCATTCTTGTAGAAGAAATAGCATTCCACACAGAACACTGTGCTGAGAATAAAGGTGAATAAAAGAGTAATGAAACCTAATTGCTACCCTCGGGGTACCTATAACCAAACAGTATCTTGTTTTCAGAGCCAGGTTAAGCCCTTTGATCTGAAGCTCCTTTTGTGGAGCACATTGCATTGCGTTTATCACAGTACCGAAACTTGTTCTTTTGCCTAACTGATCTTCATGAAGGATCCTTAGAACTGGCTCAGGGCTTCACATACTGGAATAAGTGAAAAAATAACAGGGGAGGGTGTTGGGCAGAAAGAAAGGAAAACATTTCTGTGGGCAGTCTGAAAATCAATAGCCAGGCTGTGTGTGAAAGGTTATATGGGAAAAGCTGTGGAGGAAGGCCCAGGACAGGGTAATGAGAGGAGGGTTGAAAGGTACCTTTGGGGACCTGGGGGCCTATATGAGTAGTTTAGGTTGCTTGTGTTAAGCAGTAGGAAACTTGCAGAGAAAAGGGAAAAGCCATACCTGTATTGAAGTGGGAGCCAAGTAGCAGTGAAAACTAGGATTAGGTGCTTTGGGAACAAAAAGAAAAAGACTGATGCTGATGATATGGTCTAAGATCATGCAGATTTGAGAAGAGAAGTAGAGAAAACAAAGTTGAGGCATTTTCATTAATCTGGGAAACAGGAAAAAGTAGTGTAATGGAAAGGACTGAAGAAATTGCAAAGAATGTATCTGGGAATCTAGAAGATGGGAAGAAGAGAGGCCATGCCCTCGGTTCTGGGGACCGGAAGTAAGGGTTTTGCTGTCCGAAGGTGTGGACAGTTCAGGCTCATCATTCTCAAGTATTTCAGGCATGAGAATCACTTTTAAATAAAATCCAGCAGCTACTCAGGATTATTTTACTTTTAGCATTGTGCATTGAGAAAACTCTGGCCATTCTCAAAGTAACACGTTTAGTTACACTTTAAAGCAGTTTGTATCTTGTGAAATCTGGAGAGTTCATTTACTTTCATTGTAAAGAAAAGCTTCATTTTTGCTTAAAGGTGGCTTTGTAGAGACTCCATAGGCTGCTCAGGGATTGTTCCACTAAGCCACAGGTTCTTAACACAGGGGTTGTGTGGGGCATGTCATTCATTTAGCGTGTGGGATGGTGAAGGTTTGCGCAATAGAAAAAGGTTTCTGAACCCACAAGAACCAGAAAAATAAATAAAAGATTCAGAATTAAACATACAATGAGAGCGAGGTATTCCTGGCATGATGGCTTGTGCTGCCTCCTGTCTTCACTGGGACCTTGGTTCTGAACACACAACACACTTCATGCCCTGTAGAGCCTTCCCTCCAGAGAGACCCATGACTGCAACTAGAGATCTGTCGACTCACATCTGAGACTGTTACAGATTATGAATTGCATCAGTCTTACTGTACATGCAGTTTTCTGTTTTTACAGAAACTAATAGTTTAATTGCAGAAAAGAAAGATTTAATGTTTTCTGCCATCCTTTTGTAGTGGGCTAATATGCAATTAGCATGTCTATGGATTGTATTATCTTATGATGTTTGGGTTTAAAAATTGCTGTCTGAGTTGCTGACAAGTTTCATAAGCAATCTTGGCTTGAGCTTAGGACGGAATTTCTAACAATTTCTGAAACGGCCCTGAGCACCCTGGTGCGTGTGTTCTGCATCATCCTCAGCATGTTTAACTGTAAAGCACGAATATTGAGCAACTCTAAAAATACCGCAGATGCTGTGTGCCCTGTACTTTAGCAACATCTTCAAAGAGGGCCTGGATGTAGAACATAGAGGAGAAGAAAAGGAAAAGGAAGTCAGTGTGCCATTACCAAGGTTAAATGAAGACACTTCAGGAAGTGGCATGTGGCAGAGAGGTTGCTGGGAAGCTCTGGTGAGAACTCAGTAGTCCCTTGAGACTACTGAGGGTTTACCTGTGAGTGTGTCTATCGGGGAGCACGTCCTAAATTCTCAGATGGCCCAGTGGGTCCTGACGCATCAGGCTTGATGGAGAGACTCCTCATGAAAGACCTCTCTCTGCCTTATCCTGAGTCTTCTGCCCCAGGCCTGGAAAATTCTGTCACCCTGGCAAACCAGGAGTTGAGCAGTGACATTTTCCGGATCAGACAGTTGCTCCGTTCACTCAGCACAGCCTAAGCCAGGCAGGTGAGCAATGCTACTCTGGGTGGGCCAACGCGAGAAGCATTGTGGGGGTTAGGAACCCCTTGTTACCATTTAGTGAGCAATAATCAGTCTAGAACGAATTCTGAAATCTTTTTTTTTTCTGTTTTTAAATTTTCCTGTCTGATGTTTCGTTCTTCTGACCAAGGTATAGGGATTATATGCTTTTCAGGGGCAGCAGAGTTGGGTTATCTTTAGGAAACAGAAAGAATGAGTCAACGGTTTCTTTAAACCATGGATTTTTATGAAAAAATCAGACCCAGCTTGGGGCTCCATGGTGTCTTGGAGCAGCCAGGTACAGAAGCTTTTAGCTGAGTGGATTTATCATCAACTGCTAGAATATTGTGCTGTTAGGACTCTTTAATGCCCCATTCAGAGAGATGCAGGCAGAGGTTGTTTCCAGCATGTTTGACCTTCCTATTCAAGCATGAATAGTTATAGATTTTGTGGAAATAAAATCTCACTGGATTTTAAATCGAATCAAGTTAATGTATGAAGTGGTGGGTGTTTAAATTATCACAGCAGGCTTTGAAGGAAGCCGAAACAATCTTCCAGGGGCAGAGCTTGGGGAGAAAGCTCCTCTCCCAGCTGCGAGGGTGGGTCTTTAGAAAGCCTCCTGGGATTCTGAACAGTATGTCTGTCTTTCATCTGTTATTTTGACTTTGGAAATGTACACTTGTTCCCATCATTCTTTACATTGTTAGCTGCTTTTACCAGTCCACAAGGACTTTCTCTCAAGAACCTAGGACATTTGGTAAAGTACATGAAAAAGGATAAGACTGGAAAACTGCTGTTTCCTAAAACCATTCATTGTCTTACGTCAGAAGACTACAATGTAAGTTTGAGTCTTTTGAGTCCTAAGATCCTTTTGTATTTTTATATTTGTTTAATAAATATTCCATTTTCTCCTGTTATAAAATGACTGGAAAATTCTGTTAATCTAAATCATGAACTGCTTCCCATATCCCATGATTTGGGAAAAAAATATGAATTGGTGAATTAGCATGTTAATCAGTAAACTTTGTAAAGCTACAGTCCTCGTATGGCAAGGACTGTCCCATATACGTACTTTTATGCACGTGGAGTTTTTTCTGTTCTAGTGTGAATTCACGTAGAGCAGCTACATGAGGTAAATGATGAGAAAGTTTTTTGCTCCTGTCCAGACACGTCAGGAGCCCTTCTTCTGTTTGCTGTGGTGTTTAATCCACTCTTAATCTCCGTCTACCTCTCAAGGCTGTGTTTTGGGGGCCTAGTGTCCAATTAGGTGGTAGAGCCTGCCTGCATGGGCCCTCACTGAGGCGATGTAGAAGGCAGACATTTTACTCAGGACTGAGATGGTGCGACTGTGATGGTAGACCCCAAGTCCCGAGGCACTCACAGAACCTGCAGATTTTGTTGCCTAGATATGTAGAGTGAGAATCTTTTTGTACAGTTTGCCTCATTTGCCAAATCCAGAGTCTGACACCGTGGAGCTAAGGACTAAAGAAAGTGTTTTCCAAAAGCGCACTAAATGGTTTTCCACAAGGTGTTAGCAGAAGCCACTGAACACCCTAATATTTTTTTAACCTATGGGAAATTCACGGAAGCCATGCCTGTACTGGTCCACATAAATAGAGAGCCTCGAAGTTGGAGGAGGTTGGTAGTTGTCAAAATGTGGTAGTTCAAAGGTCTCAGGAGGCAGGGCTGAGGAGGGAGTGCTTAGAGCAAAGAAAGGCATGCTCTGTATTAAGGAAGCTGAGATTGTAATTTTTAGAGCATTCTACTTGGTGGCTTTTGAGAACAGGTGCAGGCATGGTGACTGTCTTCCAGTGTGCTGCCAGTGCCCTGCTTCTGTTGTCTCTACACAGGGTTGTTGTGTACAGCAGCAGAGGTGGTCCTCCATTCGCCTCTGTGGTGTGCATGTGTTGGCCTTCTGTGGTTGGCCCCTTTTATTTACAAGGTTGCTTTGCTTAATGGAAGTAGTTGGCCAGCTCCCCTCCCGGAACTCATTGAAAGTGTTGATGAGTGAGAACTCTGTCCCCTTCCATACCGCAGCGCTGAAATGACCCTAAGTGTCTCCTTTGTTCTCTCACCCACCCATCTCGAAATATGCCACCTGTTTGCTTGTCTTCAGTTCATACTGAAATCCATTTCTTTCAGTGGCTAGATAGAAATAACTGTCTCACACAGTTTGCGCAAAGATTACACATAATATCATAATATATTACTTATCATGTTTCCAGGCACAAAATAAAGGTTCGGTGAAAGGTTATGCAGTGGCTTCTTACTTCCTGCTATTTTTTTTTAACCTCCACTACCATGTTTACTCCATAGGGAAGGAAATCTAAAGCTGAGACTGTGGAACAGATTCTGAGTCCCCAGTCTGTGGTTAGTGACTGTTTTCCTTTGAGAACATAGGTCGGTTGAGCATCTGACTGGTGGGGTTGTGAAAAGGAGGGCTGGATAGAATGTGTGTGCTGGGAGCACATCCTTCTTTCTCAGCTGCTCTGCACACAGTGCCGCTGTGGCTGTCTCACGTTTGCAATGTCGCAGCCCGTTTACGAAGCCTGAAGCAAGTGTGGTGAGTCTTTCTCTCTCCTTTTTGTAGGTTAAGCCCGTCCACAGTAATGGCCACGGCCTTACCCAGGACGCTGGGGGAGCTGCAGCTGTATAGGATACTGCAGAAAGCCAATCTGCTTTCTTACTTTGATGCCTTTATCCAGCAAGGTGGTGACGATGTCCAGCAGCTGTGCGAAGCTGGAGAAGAGGAGTTTTTGGAGATCATGGCACTTGTGGGCATGGCAAGCAAGCCCCTTCACGTTAGACGACTTCAGAAGGCTTTGAGAGACTGGGTTACGAACCCTGGCCTTTTCAATCAGCCACTGACTTCCCTTCCTGTCAGTAGCATACCCATCTACAAATTACCGGAGGGCTCGCCGACGTGGCTGGGAATATCCTGCAGCAGCTACGAGAGGAATAGCAGTGCACGGGAACCACACTTAAAAATCCCCAAGTGCGCTGCCACCACCTGTGTGCAGAGCCTGGGTCAGGGCAAGTCAGAGGTGGGAAGTCTAGCGCTGCAGAGTGTCGGTGAGTCCAGGCTCTGGCAAGGACACCACGCCACGGAGAGTGAGCACAGCCTCTCCCCAGCAGACCTGGGCTCCCCAGCCTCCCCGAAGGAGAGCAGCGAGGCACTGGATGCTGCTGCTGCCCTCTCTGTGGCCGAGTGCGTGGAGCGGATGGCCCCCACCCTGCCCAAAAGCGACTTGAATGAAGTGAAAGAGCTGCTCAAGAACAATAAGAAGTTGGCCAAAATGATCGGTCACATCTTCGAGATGAGTGATGAAGATCCACACAAAGAGGAGGAGATTCGAAAGTACAGCGCCATCTATGGCCGATTCGACTCCAAGAGAAAGGATGGGAAACACCTCACACTGCATGAGGTAAGGCTCCTGGGTACGCTGCTCACTGCAGGTTGCCTGCTGACGTCTACAGCAGAGGAGCCCTCCTGGAGCAGCCCTGAGAATACTGAAGTGTGACAGCCCTAGGGCTGCCTTGACTTGAAAAACACACTCGAGTTTTTAAAACTACAGTGTAAGGCAGCTTCTCGAACAATGTCAGAATTCAAGCAGTGAGACATAAATTTCACATTTGCAGGGTGCTTTGTTTCTTTAGTTAAGAAATAAAATAAGATTTCAAATGTGGACCATCATTTTAACTTTCTTTTTTATAAACCTCTGTTAAAAGAAAAAAGTAATGATAAACTGACCAGAACATAAGGTAATTTCCAGGTAGTGTAGAAAACAAAGTTATGTTAGGAATGTTGGAAGTGAGAGTAGTTTTGAATCTTGTTTTGGTTTGAAGCCCAGCATAGAAAGGTCTCTACAGCACTTTATCCAGAAGTGTTCTGTTTAAGCATGAAACACACACACACAGACACAGACACACACACACACAAACACATTTCATGCATACCTCATTTGCATATGTGCATACATTTTTCACTTCCTTGCTTTTTCTTGTTTATCTGGCTAACACCTCTCCATTATTCAGCACAGATGTAAGCTTGTCTTTGCTGTGATCTTTTCCTCTAAGTAGAATCTGTCTCCTTTGCATCCTGCATCCACTTCTGCCACAGTAGCTCCAGAACACTTTGTTGTGATGCCTTTGTATCCTGGTCTGTCCCTTGCTGGATGATGGCTTTTCAGTCTTTTATCCCTAGAGTCTAGTATATGCAGTGAGTGCTTAGAAAGTGATTCATTTTCAGAAGTCAAAAAGACTTTCATGGTGAGATTTTTTTTTTTTTAATAACCGCATATCCTTCAGAAGAAAGGAACAAACCTTCAGAAATAAAGTTAGGTTGACTATTTTATTCAACATCATACCTCTTCATCTTGTGCTGTAATCTGAAAGGAACTTATGTTTACTGTGAGGGTGTTCTGACGTGAAAAGGTACATGTTACTGACTTGTAAGCTTCTGAAGACTTACCTTTACACGTCCAAACATCAGTTCATGTTTCACAAAGTGTTCTGCAGATTCCTGTGTCGCTGGTGAAGCTCCACACTCCAGGAGTGGAGGGCCCCTGACTGCTCTGTGGCTGCACTGCCGGACGTTACTCTCTCCTCCTCGTGGTGCCGATTAGATTGTTGCCACTATAAAAAGAGCTTATGTATCCGGGTATATGAACATTCACACTTAAAATATTTATTATTTTTAATTACGTCTGTGGGTCGTGTAGGTGTGTGTGTGTCAGTGCCCATGAGGGCACACGTGCCCGGTCTCATGGAGCTGCAGCTATAGGCTGCTGTGAACCATGTGACATGGGTGCTGGGGACCAAATAAGTGTCCTCTGCAAAAACAGTGTGCATTCCTGCCCATTCCAGCTCCAGCCACACATAGCCTTTACAGTCTTCCGTGGAGTGCATTCCACCCTGTGAATTGGGGGATCAAGAAGTTTGCAGATGCAGTGTTCCAATCCACTGCTAACTGCTGCTAACTCGCTTTCTAAAAAGCCGAAAACAGTGTGCTTCCATCAGTGCTATGCAAATGTCTGTTTATCCACACTTGCTGGTAATGTATTTTACATTTTAATCCCTGCCAGTCTTAAGGGATGAAAACTTAGACTCAGATCTGCTTTTTCTGGAGAAGATGGTGAGCTTCTCTTCCATGGTCAGTCTTCTGTCCATAAAACCATTTTAGTAGTTGAGTTGTCTTCTAAAAGGTTGATTCTGGGCATAATCCCACCACTCAGGTGGCAGGGACAGGCAGATCTCTGCGAGTTTGAGACCAGCTTGGTCTACATAGTGAGTTCCAGGCCATCCAGGGCAAAAAAAAAAATTGGTAAGAACTTTATATAGTTTATGGGTATAAAATCTTTGTTTCCCCATGCGCTCATTCTTCCTTTGATAGTTTACTGTTTTTTTCCTGTGAGTTTGGTTTTACCTCGTCATGTCTGTTGATCTGATCCTCCTTGGCTCGGTTGACTTTTGTATTCCTCTCCAGGATAGACTTGTCTCAGCTGAGTACCTTTGCAGTGCAGTTTGTTGCGCAGAAAAACATGTACTTCTTTATTATTCTTGTATTACAGCTTTTCTTTATTTCTTTATTTATTACAGCTTTATTCTTTAGTTCTTTTGTTTGTTTGTTTTTCAAGACAGGTTTGTCTATGTAGCTTTGGCTGTCCTGTACTTGCGTTGTAGGCCAGGCTAGCCTCAAACTCACAGTGATCCACTTGCTTCTGCCTCTCCAAGTATATAACTGGTGTGCTCTACCAAACCCAGCTTTTTTTTTTTTTACATAATGTTTAAAGTTTTACAGATGAAACACAAAGTTGAGTTAAAAAAACATAGTTTTATCAAAGTAAAAGCAATTTTTAATAAAGATTACTTTAATAACTAATCAATTTCACAATGAAAAAACCTTCCTTATATTAAACAATTCAAACTAATTATTTTTATACTAGGCTTTTGCTACAGGGATCTTTGCCTCATTAGCTAAGTAGGTACTTAGTAAATGTAAGTCCTGAGGTCATTCTAAGTGTCCTTGAATAAAGGTGTGCTGAAAATGAGCGCTGGGCGTGGAGGGGTGAGGGCGGAGCTTTGGGAAAGCTGCCTTGCCTCTAAACTTCACCTTGGACAGCTCTTGTTCGTTGTGGCTCCCATGAGTGAATTTAGTCCAGTAATGTGGATGAAGGTAGAAGTTACAGAAGCCAGCTTTCTTCACCTCCCAGACTCTCACGACCTTGGAGAACTTTGGGAGTCTGAAATTAGTAGAGAATAAAAAGTAGGATTACTGTTGTGACCTTCCAAGTGTTATGAAAATAATTAACTTTAAATCAGAGAAAGACTTAAGTATATCTAAGTATCTAAGATAAAAAAGTGTTACCAGTTTATTTCCAGTTTCCAAAAAAAGGGGATATGTGACTTCCATCCCACTGTTCTGAGAGTTCCCTTCATATAAGCACCCTGCTTTTATGTAGATCTTTCAAAGCCACGTGTTTTCTGTAGTTCTGGCATATCTGACACCTGGGAAAAAGTCAACTCCAAGTCCTTGGGATTTTTTTTCTTGTAAACGTTTTTGTACTTGTTCCCGAAAGCATTGCATCCTGCACAGCAAGAATTATACAGTAGAACCCTGCTTTTAAAGAGAAAGAATAGGTAATTGGTGGGCAGTGATAAAAATGTAGAGCCATGCAGTCTGGGTGTGGGGCAGGTGCTGCAGGACGGGCAGCCATGGCTGTGGCAGGAGGATTTCAGCAGACTGGTCTGTGTATCCAGAGGTGCAGTGGAGATCACAGGTGGTTGAGGAGACAGGCACTGTGCTTCGGACCTCGAGTCAGTGGATGATGAAACATAAGCTGAAGATTGGAAATAACAGGGAATGTGGGATGAAAGCAGGGACTGTGCAGAAGCGTAAGTCAACAGTTTGCACTGTGAGGTATTTGTAGCAGACAGTATCTGCTGGTCAAGGGACTCTAGAACTGCAAGATGGAAAAGGAAAGGAGGGTAGTCAGCTCGTGAATGATAGTTCCACCAGAACTCTGTGGAGATTCAGCTGCTAAGAAGTGACCAAGATAAAGCCCAGGCCTGTGAAACGGTGATGCCAAGCAGCATCAGCCGCCAGCTCAGTGGTGAGATGTCAAAGCTGAGGCGTTTCGGAAGGATCCAGCAGTTCTGGTTTTGAGAGAAGAAGCTGCATCTGGGACACCCTGAAGAAGAACAGGCCATGCGTAGGTTATGAAGCTTTCGGTCTATGTTCTCAGCTTACAGTGGGTAGTTTTCAGCACCCAACAGGTGAAAAAAGGTCTTGGGTTTTCTTTGGATGGCTTTGAGAAGTACATTGTAGGACTATTAAGGTAATTATTACTTCCTGAATCACTTAGTATTACTTCTTGAATCACATTTTTCTGAACATGTCGATTCCATTCAGAACTTCAAACACCAGCACGAAATTATTTCTCGTTTTGTGACCTAACCTAGGCTATATGGTTTCTCCCCAACGCGTCACGCTTGCCCAGAAATGTGTCAACTGTTTTCCTCCAAGGACTGCAAACAAGGGTCAGTGGGCCTGATCTGGCCTTCTGTCTTAGGTTTACTATTGCTGTAAAGAGACACCATGACCTTAGCAACTCTTACAAAGGCAAACAGTTAATTGGGGCTGGCTGACAGTTCAGAGGTTTAGTCCATTGTCATGGCAGGAAGCATGGTGGCATGCAGGCAGACATGGTGCTGGAGAAGGAGCTGAGAGTACTGTGTCTTGATCCAAAGGCAGCAGAAGGGGACTGTGTGCCACACTAGGACTAGCTTGAGCATAAGAGACCTCAAAGCCCACACCCACAGAGACACACTTCTTCCAACAAGGCCATGCCTCCTAAGAGTGCCACTCCCTATGGGCCACGCATGCAAATGAGTCTGCAGGGGCCATTCCTTTTCAAACCATCACACCTACCTTTTTTGTGGATAAACTATTACAACAGCCCATGCGTTTGTATGCAGTATCAGTGGTTGCCTTTAAGCTACAATGGCTGAGTTGGACAGCTGGGACACTGGCCTATAAATCCTAAAATATCTCTGTGCTTTATACAAAGAGCTTGTTCTGTTTGAAGAATTTGTTATCTTAATTGAGGTTTTTGGTTGTGTTGGTCACTTCTAAATTAAATTGGGTTTGTTAATGTTCTGTTATTTTTATATTTTTAATTTAAGCAATTGTAGCTCTGAGTTTTCACTGTGCATGGATTCATTAAGGTTTTGATATTTTATAATTACTGACTCATGAGTTATTTAGAATTTCATAGTTTGTTTGATTCTAATCATGAGTTAGTCTGCCTCACCCTGTTAGTTTTTCTAATGATTTCTTTCTGAATTACCAGTGGTTGGTTCTCTCCACCATGCCAGTCCTGGAGAACTCAAGACAAGGAGCCTTGGTGCAAGCTCCTTTTCCCAC